CAAAAGCGTGGGTAAAATCATCCAGGGAGAGTGAGAAGAGAATAAGGCAAAGGTGGACATCAAGGAAAGAGGGTGAGAAAGCGTGGGTGGAAGGTAGGAAGGGGAAACTTAGGTGAGCATGATGCTGGGTGGTCAAAGCGTCTGCTTCTGCCGTCCAGGTCACTTTCTGCTTGCCTGCTTGCTTGGTCACTTGTGTACTCTGGGGGGCCAGAGAGTGGGAGCAAGGATTTCTCAGAGGATCTTGGTTTGAGTTCTAGCTCCCCTTCTGCTTTACCATGTACCTCTGGGCGTGTCAGGGCTTTCTGGGACAGTCCAACCTCTGCAACTTACAAATGGTGAAACCAGTGCCCTGAGAGTAGATGATACTTGCCCAAAGGTCATCCAGAAAGTCACTGGTGGATCTGGACCAGGGCCCAAGTGTCTCATTTCCTGTCCCGGACTCTGCCTAAGGAACACCTTTCTGGAACCCTTAAAGAGGACATTTTCCAGCCTACAGGTGTCTGTGTCTGGGAAGCTGGGTGGACCAAGTGTGAATTCCTGTGTTCTGGGTTGGTTTCAGAAGGTGTGAACAGGTTGGTAGCGTGGCAGTCCAGATGCCTCTTGGGTTCCCGAAAATGGAGTTATGTTTAGCAGCATCTTCAGAACCAAAGGTGGGGGTGGGGGAGGTTGCAGGTGTTGTTGGGCCCTCTGAAGTGAGAAGAGCCCAATACAGATCTTTTTTTCATGTTTTTCACAAGTTTGCTGTTCAGCAGGGCCTCCCAAAGGGCTTTGCCCACAGGGTTGGGGAGTCGGGAGCTCAGGCCCAGCAGACCTTGTGGGGAAGGGCTACCCATGAAGGTGTAAGTTATAGGAATCCCTGAGCACCCTTCTCACCTGAAATCCCCAAGGCTTGTTGAAGATGGGAGGTCTAGGTCCATGCTGCTTAATGGACCTAAGAAGAATTACCTAGGCTCTTTGTTAATTATCCACCTAGATCCTTCCCACGATCTCCTGAATCAGACTCTCCAGTGGAGAGGGCCTGAGATTCCTGTTTTTACTAAGTATGTCAGGTGATTCTAATGAGCAGATAAGTTTGGGGAAAACTAGTCCAGGTTAACCTCTTACCTAGTCCTGGAGTAGTGCTTGCTCCCCTGTGGACACCCTAGGTTGTTGAGGCTCTATCAGCAGTGTGAGGGGCTGATATGTGAGGCACTTATCCCTCCAGGGAGAGAGGTACGTGGCCAAGGAGCAGCCAGGGCCTTTGGAGTCCTAAGGGGCCCCCCCTTCCCTGACGCATGAACGTCTGCTGAGCTCTGTGGTAATGAAGAGAGCAAAAGGAGAAAACCAGACTTTAAGATTCTGGCCTGTCTCAATGTAATTCATGGAATAGCTGCCATGATGGATATTTGTACAGGGTTCTGTGGAATAGCTGACTGTAGGGGGAGGATTAAGAAGTCCTCTTGAGTGGGTGATATTTAAGCTAAGCCTTGGAGGCTGCATGCATTTGCTGATTAAAGGAAAGAGGGAACAGTATTTCTGGCAAAAAAAAAAAAAAAAGTGTGGACATAGGAATGGGGGGGAGGGTGGTGGACAGAGCTGAGACTGAAGGGCCTTATTGCCAAGCTCAGGGGTTTTGCCTTACCTTGGAAGTAGCAAGGAGTGCCCTAGGGTAAAATCACAAAGTTATAGTTAAGCAAAAAGAAAGATTTTATTCGGCATATGTTCAAAGAGGCAAAAGTGGGAAACAGACAAGCATGCTGCCAGAACCATGTCTGCCTGAGTCCAAGGAATATTACAGAATAAGCAAAAATAGCAAAATGAATAAGCATGCTGCCAGAGTCATGTCCAAGGAATGTTACAGAATCATCAGTATGTATTAACATTACAAAATGGGTAAAATCCACGAAAGCTTCATCTTTTCACAGATTGGCTAAAAACCACCAAATCACCATGATTCTACATTTTGAATTGTCTTTCGTAATAATCATTGGTACAAATTTCAGTAAGTACACTCAAGAGGGTCTTCAGTGGTCCAACAAATCTTACTATTCACTAAATGCTAATAGAAAAAGATTAAGAGTGGAAAATACGTGGGTCTTTTGTGCTGTTTATGATTTATGTGAAAGGTTCCCTAAAAGATGTTTTCCAGGATTGTCCTAGCTCTTGTCTTTATACCTCAGGGCCCAGTTGATGTGTCTTTGTGAGTCCAGCTCCAGCTGGGTCACATTATTTATGCTCAAAGACAGGGACTAATGGCTCCAATATTATCTCCTAAATCAGGAGCCATGGGTGGTTTTTTAGCAGGAAATTGGTATGATCAGAGCTGTGTCGCAGAAGAACATGAACTAGTGGGAATAGGTCCTGTGGTGATAGACGATGGCCAGCGATGGAGGGAAGATGTGAGGAGTGCCCTGGGGAGGGGGGAGGAGGAGGCAGATGGGAAAGGCCGCACCTGCTGACAGGCAGGAGGAGCAAGGGCCACAGCCTCCTTTTCTCGGGGCTGTTTCATTTCAGGAGGGCAAGTGGTGCCAGAGGACGAGGGGTGCTTGGGGAGTCACATCTTGATAAGTAAGCAGGGTGGCAGAGGCTTGGGCACTGGGCCTCAGGTAGTCCTCACCAGTCCATTTCAGGTGAACTTTGCTCTGAGCTTGCTATCAGCGTTCTTGCCTCTGTTCTGTAGGTTCCTTCTTTTGTTCTGTGGCATGTTTGCTTCACAGGTGAAGCTGGTTGCACTAGAGTATCAGTTCCCGAAATGTGTTCCCTGAGAAGATGGTTCTGTGGCCAAATAGGTTTGGGAAATGATAGATTAAATAAAGTGAAGCAGGTTTCTTGTCTGCACAACTTATCAGAGACTTTGACGTGCATCATGACTTTCCAGAAGCAGGATTTAGTATGCAGGGTTCCCACCCTTATCTGACTAGGGGACTTCTTTTTTCATTGAGCGTTTTGCTGGGACTAGTGTTTTCTGGAACTCACTTTAAGGAAGTCTGGTATACAGGGAATACTGGAAGTCTTGGGTTTGAGTCTTGGGTCTGTCCCTGATTCTCTTGTGTGTCCCTGGGCCTGTCATCTTTCTCCTGCCCTCACCAGGTATGCCACATGAGGGACAGTCCCCAGTTCTCAGGGAACGTGCCCTTCTCTTAGCTTCCCCTATTTCTACTTGTGAGACAAGTACTTCCACACCTTTGGGTTTTTTTTAACATTTTATTGTGGTTTAGATGAAAGTTCATAGAGCAGATTAGTTTCCCAATCAATTTATACACAGCTTGTTTCATAACATTGCTTGTAAACCCTGGAATGTGTCAGTACTCTCCTCCCTTTCTCCCTGGGTTTCCCATGTCCATTTGCCCAGCTTTCCTGACTCTACTGTCCTTCTGAATTTTGCTTTTGGGCAAATGCTGCCCTTTAGGTCTCATATAGTTGATTGTTCTGACATGTACATTCCTCACTGATGTGATTGTTTATTTTATAGGCTTGTCTATTGTATGGCTATTGTGTGATCTCCGGGAGTGATTTCAGTTCCAAGTTTGAAGGCTGTCTAAGGGCCATAGTCTCAAGGGTTCTACCAGTCTCTATCGGACCAGTAAGTCTGGTCTCACGAGTTTGAATTTTGTTCTACATTTCTTGCCCACTCTGTCCATGACCTACTATTGTGGTCACGGTCAGAGGTTGGTAGTGGTAGGCAGGTACCATCTCATTCTTTTGGTCTTGCAGCTGCTAGTGGAGGCCATGGTTCATGTGGGCCATTTGTCCTTTGGGCTAATTGTTTCCTTGAGTCTTTGGTTTTCTTCACTCTTCTTGCTCTAGATGGGAAGAGGCCAATTGATCTATCTTAGGTGACCACTCACAAGCTTTTAAGACCCCAGTCGCTACTCACCAAGGTAGGATGTAGAACATTGTCTATATGGATTATGATATGCCAATTGACCTAAATGTTCCTCAAGACTATGGTCCCTAGCCCTCAAGCCCAGCATCTCAGTCCCAGGATGTATATGGTTATGGCTAAGAAGTTTTCATGACTGTGTCCCCTGTGTGCACTGTTGCGTACATGGGTATATTTGCAGCATGTGCACATATATATGTATGTGGGTGTACTTCCATATACCCTCCCACCCCCATACCTATATCTTGATCTTAACCTTTTCCTGTCCCTGTACTTTTAACCTGCTGTTACCTCAAAATCCACCATCCAGATCTCATCAATTTTCCTTCTAAGCTGAGAGCCCTCTTACTAGCCTATTTCTCTCATCTGGATCCTTACTCTTCCGGGAAAGAAACTTTGAGGTCATCACACCATAACTCTTCCCCTCTTCTTCATTCCCTTTGTCTGCTCTATTACTAAGCATTCTTCTTTGACATTCTTCCTGGCTATTTCTTTTCTCTCTTCTAAGCCTCAGTCTCCCTCTGGGTCTTGTTGCCATCTAGTTTGTCTCACCTCTGCACCAAGTCCTTTCCTGAAACGTGAGTTACTCATGCCACTCTCTGCTACCTTCTGATTTGAGACCGATTTCCTCACCTTGGCATTGCCAACCACCAACCTCCCCAACCCCCACACACCTCTAACTTTCCCCAGCTTAGGGTAGGTTCAGAGTGATGAAGTCGCTTGTCCAGGGCCATATAACCGGAAGGTAGCAGAGCTAATCTCAACCGTAGGACTTTTGAGGAAGTGCTTTCTCATCCATTATCTCTAATTCTTACAACAAACCTGTTGGGAAGTCTGAGCGTGAGTTATTATCTCCATTTCTGTTTTACAAATGAGAACCACAAAGTCTGAAGCATATGGGGAGTGCCAAAGGGTGACCAACTGTCCCAGTTTTCCCCAGGATGGAGGCATTTCCTGGGCACAGGACTTTCAGTGCCGAGGGGTTTCCAAGATGATTGGGTGCCCACATGTGCCTTTTCCGTGGCCACACTGCCTCCCAGGAGGCGTCTCTTCTGTGCCTGTGTCCTAGCCAACTGACCTACCTGTGGAGCAGAGAGCCCTGTGGCCTGCTAACTTCTCCTTCCCTTCACTCCTCCAGTTGGCCCCATGATGATCGAGTTTAACATGGCTGTGGACCTGGAGCGTGTGGCAAAGCAGAACCCAGAGGTGAAGGTGGGCGGCCGCTATGCCCCCAAGAACTGTGTCTCCCCTCACAAGGTGGCCATCATTATTCCATTCCGCAACCGGCAGGAGCACCTCAAGTACTGGCTGTATTACTTGCACCCAATCCTGCAGCGCCAACAGTTGGACTATGGCGTCTATGTTATCAACCAGGTGAAGTCTGGGAAGATAAATAGAGGGGGGGAGTGCATGTGTGTGTGTGTGTGTGTGTGTGTGTGCGCGCGCGCGTACACGTGTAAGTTAGTAAATGGGGGCAGGAAAGGGGAACAATTTTGTGGACACCCTGGCATTTTACAGTGAGGGGCCAATGCTACCCACCACCGTCTTTATTTTAACAGTGCAGGTTAGCTAAGTGACATACAATGTGTTGCTGTCAACTCTTTCAGCTAAGGGAAATTGCTGGACTGTTGCGGTTTGTAAGTATCTTTCCAGAAAAATTAAGAGGAAAAAAGGCAACCCTAATTCCCCCAAAGTTTAAAAAAAAAAAACAAAAAAAAAACCTGTTGCTGTTGAGTCAATTCCAACTCACAGCGACACTATAGGACAGAGTAGAACTGTCCCATAGGGTTTCCAAGGAGCAGCTGGTAGATTCAAACTGCTGACCTTTTTTTGGTTAGCAGCTGAGCTCTTAACCACTGCGCCAAAGCACTGATTATTTCATGTCTTTGGGTGCTTCTGTATTTTCCTTTTTACTTTTAAAAACAACATCTATTTAGATGACAGACTATTAGGCAACTTGAAAGCTTATTCAGTCAAACTCTGTGTCTTCTGGGGCACCCACAAGAGACAGCGCTCCAAGTTCAGGCCATGTGCCCTCATGCCAGCCCCCAGCAAAATGTCTGGGGAAGTCTGACTTGTGGGCCATCTGAGAGTCATGTGGACTCGGCTGGCCCTAAGAAAGGAAAGCACATTGTGTCTCTGATCTGTGTATGTGTTGGGCTTTAGTCCCACTTAAGAAACTAATGCTGAAGACATGTCAGCCTTTACCAACACAGCCTAGAGAATGTGGGTGATCCAAGACGCATTTTTGTTGAAATAACTTTACTTGTTTCCATTTTGTTTGAGGAGCACTGTTATTTTTCCAAGAATTTAATTTTGTTATTTCTAGTTTACCCTAAATACTTAACTCCATGTCTTTACTGGTAATTTATGTGAACTGTGACCTCCTGGGTGCAATCACATGTCTAACTTATTTATGTACCGAGTTTCATTGAAATGTATTTGAAGAGATTAAGAGTCTGCCCATTTCTGAAAGGCCCAATGTCCATTTCATTCAAGATAAACTCTGGATCTGTTTGAGGTATTAAGCATGTTGGCAGCTTACAGCTTCCATCAAAGTGGAGGTCACCTTGGACCAGAAGGAAAGCAGGAAACAGCAGTTCTGTCCATTTGGCATTTCTGAGGACTGCTGTGGGAAGGTGCTGCACCAGTTACTGCAGAGAGGTTCTAAAGATGTATAAGGGCCCAAGTCCTACCTGTCTTGAAGCTTCCAACCCCCTCTTATGGCAAGTGGGACCCTTGCAGGGAACACATGGTAAAGTCCCAGATATCATGTGATTAGATGGTGGCTACCAAATGCTTTGGAGGCTGAGGAAGGAGAGCTCTATGACCTGGAAGAACCAGGTTCTAAAGGCTGGCGGGGAGAGATGGGCATTTCAGCTGGGGCCAGTGAACGGGACTTCAAGGCAGGAAGGAGCCTTGCCTATTCCTGGAGATCAAGATGACCATTAGGGTAGAAAAGCAGCAGAGGCTGTGGAACCAGGCACCCGAACTGAGCCTGTCAGTCAGGGGAGGGCAGAACAAACCCTATTACAAAGGAGCTGAAGCTCAAGTCAGGAGAGCAGGTGTAAGACAAACTGCTTGAGGCTGGGTTTGAGTCCCTTGGCCAAGTGAGGTACAGACCAGGGCTGTGAGAAAACTGCAGGCAAGACAGCCAGGCAGTTGTGGGTCATCTGGGAAGAACTTTGGAGAATTTTGCAAAACGCAGGCTGCTTCAAGCCAACAAGCATTTGTTTAAGAAAAGCCCTGTCATCAAGGAACATTTGTCTAATGCCAGTGGGCACATGTTGATCATGGCAAAATTCAGGAGCTTGTTATTAAAGTAATGGCAGTGAGCACCTAAAAAAGGACGTACCATCACCAGGAGCCAGCAGGGACTACTAAGAACAAACCATGCCAGCTGCCTTCGTTTCTTCCTCTGGCAGTTATCATACCAGTAGATGAGTGATACCCAATATAATGTTGTTAGATCTTACTCAGCAAGGCATTTTATGGTCTCCCACAAATCATCCTGAGCAGAAGATAGACAACTGTGGTCTGGATGATATATAACCAGTAACCAGTTGCCATCAAGTCAGTTCTGACTCATGGTGACCCCAGGTGTGTGAGAGTAGAGCTGTGCTCCATAGGATTCTCAATGTCTGATTTTTCGGAAGTAGATTGTCAGACCTTTCTCTGGGTGGACTCAAACTGCCAACCTTTCTTAGCAGCAAGTGTGTTAAACTGTACCACCCAGGGCCTCAATGTATAGATATGCTGTGTTTTAGGTGAATGAAACTTCCCTGTTCAATTATAAAGTCAAAAGAAATATCGGACCAGTGAAATCTAGTTATCAACTTAAATTCCTGTGACACAATTTGTATAGATATTCCCCAGGTTTCAAACAACAGATTGTCCTATACCAGCTACATGTTCCTCCCCAATCCAAGCTGGCAGAACAACTTAACCCAGCTGGCTTAGACCAGTGGCCCTGCTGTGATGGCTAACGCTGGGCTCTGCCTAACTTGGCATTTCTCCCAAAGAGTGCTTTCCAAATAGAGAATGGCCCAATAAATGTGAGGAACGCCATCTTATACAATGAGAAGCAGGTCTCATTCCTGCAGAGCCCTCAGTACACTAGTGTCCATTGTGACCCTCCAGGAGAAGTACTCAGCCAAGCAGTTGGGGGTCATTCTGGATCCAGCTAACAAGCATTTGTTTAACAAAAGCCCTGTCATCAAGGAACACTTGCCTAATGCCAACGAGCACATGTGAATCATGGCAGGATTTAGGAGCCCACGTTACAGCATTTCCCAAGGTTGTCTGAGAAATGTTTTCCAAGAATCATCTCCAGCGGTAAATGTTCTGTGAATCACACTTCGGGTAAAGCAGACCTAAATTAACCTCTCCTCCCCACCACCTCATTACTTTCTCTAGTATACAGGAAATCCTTCTTCTTCCCTCTTCTCTGTCTTTTCCCACTTGAGTTTAGTAAATATGTTGTTGTTTGCTGTTGGGTCACTTCCGACTCATAGCAACCCTATAGGACTCATAGAACTGCCCCATAGGTTTTCTTAGACTGTAATCTTTGTGGGAGCCGATCTCCAGGTCTTTCCCCCGCAGAACTGCTAGGTATGTTCGAACTGCCAACCTTTCAGTTAGCAGCCGAGCGCTTAACCATCACTCTACCAGGGCTCCTTTTGTTAGTTAAAATAGCGTTAGAAATATTTTTAGTTTTTACAAGTCTTTTTTTTTTTTTTTTTAATCTCATTAGTATCATCTTTTTTCCCCATGCATGTCTTTTTGCCCGTTCATCTTTTCCTCTCTTCCAAGAGTTAACTGTCTACCTTAGGAGAATCTTTTCCTTTTTCTCTCTCTCTCCCCAAACTAATCTTATCTTTTCTGCTCTACCTCCACCCTAATTATTTCTTTGGGAAAATATAGTCTGAGTTTCCAGGTAAGCAAGTGAAAAAGAAAGGAAGTCCGCCCCTCCTCTTTCCAGTGAAGAATACTAGCTGTATGGTGTCTATAAAGAGCACATAATAAAGTGGAAATAGGAAACCTAAACCTTGAAAATGAAGAGGAAGAAGAAACATTTGGAGCATACCTCGTCTGCAGTTAGAAACTTCCTATAGTCTGTCTTATGGTCCTATTCTAGAAGAGGAAGAAAAGGATTTTATAGCATATGACTTTGACCTTTGGGAACTATTTGTTGAGCATATCAACATTATGAGCTGTTAGGCTTCATTAGAAGGAGCCCTGGTGGTTGGTGCCACAGTTAAGCACTCTGCTGTTAACCAAAAGGTTGGTAGTTCAAGCCTACCCGGTGGCTCTGCTGGAGAAAGACCTGGTGATCTGCTGCCGAAAGATTACAGCTAAGAAAACCCTATGGGGCAGTTCTGCTCTGCCACATGGGGTCGCTATGAGTTGGAATCAACTCTGTGGTACTCAACAACACCAGGCTTCATTAGAGCCCCTCAACATCCCCCTGGTCTCCCCATCACAACGTCAGAAACCCCGCTGTCATTTTGAATCTTCACTCTGTACGTCTTTCCTCCCACTTATTAGAGAGAAAGGATACTTAAAATGGGAAGGGCTCCAGAGACATATGGTCCAGTGGTTCCCAAACTTTTTTAAGAGCAGAACCTCCTGCCCCATGGATCCCCTTCACAGGAGATCACAGTGGCACTATTCTACTTGAAGTGTGAGCCATGCCCCCAGCTCCACTTCCTTAGCTTCCACTTCAGTCTTTGCTAGGAGTTGCTGGGATGCCTGAGGTTGCACAGTGTGAAAACCTCTGTTCCATTTCACAGGTAAGGAAACTGAGGCTCAGGGAAGGGAAATGACTGGTAGAAATTCACGTCAGTAACAGCAGGCTGAAACCCAGCCCTTGTCTCCAAGTTTAGTGCCCCTTCACTGTATCACAGTAACTCTTCTCAAGGCCATTTAGCCCCTCCCTTAGTGTTTCTCATCTCAGTAAGGTACCCAGGGCTGAGAGTGAGCCTGGAGCTCCACTGCCTGGATGAGGTCCCAGCTCTGCCACTTTGCAGTTCAGTGACCTTCGGCAGTGACCTTGGTTTCTGCATTGGTGGGATGGGGCAGGTTTTAGCACCTACCTCACAAGGCTGTGAAGCATCTGGTGTAGGGTGCAGCCTCAGAAAATGTTAGCTGTTACTGTTATCATTTGTCTTTCCTCTCCACCCACACTTCCTGCTGATTTCCTCTGCCCTCCTCTGCCGGCTACTATGTGATAAGCCCTTTACTGCTTGCCCTGCCCCCTGCTATACCCCTGCTCAGTACCCTGCTCAGTACCAGTACTGGGACTCTCCCTCCCATTTGTTACGGTCTCCATGGCGTTAGAGGATAATGGGTAATGGTGTAAAGCAGAGACCTGC